CTAAACATGAACAACAACTGGAACTCAAAGTCTGCAAAGCTTTTAAAGCTCATGTTTGCTACAAAAGATAAAAAGGAAAACACATAGTATTGAGAAGCACAAACCTGTGCAACTAAAATGTTGGAAGACGTTCTATGTTGAGTGGACTTGATGATCGCCACTTATGGGACTATCACAAAAAGATATTTCGGTGTGAGATAGATGTCTAAGGGAAGAGGAAGCAACCTAGTAATCGTCTTACATAGATATTTGGGAACATTACCTTTTGGCGAATCTCTGCCATAAAGACCTTTATGCTTGCGAGATAGATCAATTAGGAAACTTTGATCCCTTTGAACGAATCAAGAGAAGAAAAGTGTGAAATCATCCTCGTCGGCAATAAATTCCTAATCGAAAAAATAAGTCCATCTCCCTCTTACTAAAAGGACAAAAAGTTAAATAGTTGAAGAATTCAATCACCCCTATGACAAATGAAGAAGGAAAATTGAATTAAAAAAAAAATAGAAAAAACAGAACATAACATACCAAGAACAAACTTTGATGTTTGTGCCACCATCATGCCTCTTTGATGAGTTTATGTTGTATACCAATGACCCAAAACGTCTAAATTAAACTCATGGGAAAACAAACAAAACGAATCAAAGAAAGCTCATCAGAGCTCATGGTCGTGATCGGATTCCAAGAATTGACCAATTCAAGACATGAATTATTAGATAAAGGATACAAAATACACATAATAAAACAATAAGAAAATAATAAGACGAATTGAACAAACCTCTTCGGAGCTCATGGTTGTGGTCGGATTTCAAGGATTGATCAACTCAAGACCTAGAATATTATGTAAAGAATACAAAATACACATAATTTACATACATGAAAATAAGCATGACAAAACAAAGAAATCAATGCTATTTAAATCATCTCTTTTGTTCTTCTCTTTTATATAATAGGAAGAAGAAAATATTTATATGTTCAACTAAAACCTCTAAAGAAAAATAAAGATACCATGAAAATTAAGTTTTCCAGATTAAAAAAACAAAAAACAGAATATCAAAACAAAGAGGTAAGCAATACCTGAAATATCGTTTAAGTTTTTTTTTAATCCATGGTCACCTTGACCAAATTTCGAGATTGTATTTTAAGTGACCTAAAAGAAAATTAGATCAAAGCTTAAGATTCAAAAAAAAAAATCAAAAAAAAAAAAGACGAACAAACACCAAAGAAGATGAACCAATCCAAATATGTGCATATAATACATACACACTATTGAAATTTGTTACCTTAAACTCTTGAATGCCATGAAATTAAAAATAACTTGCAAAAGAAACTTCACTATTAAAACAACCACATAAATGTTCATAACGCAAACGAAGCTGCGTCTCATAGATGCTTGTTCTTTGAACCTAAAGAAAAATCAGATATGTATATGACCTAAAAAAACAATTAGAATAAAAAAAATGAGAGGAAAAATAAATAGCCAAACTAACAATTAAGAGTTTTAAGGTTAGACCTCAACTTCTGCCCGTCACTAAGAATCCTTAAAAAAAACACCTAAAGAAAAGAATTTGAATAAACCCTAGAATAAAAACTAAAAAACTACTATACGTAATGAATATGAAAGGGATCTGAAAGTCCTCACCAAATTATATTTTGCTTCTAATCGTTTACTCTGTTTCATCCACATACCCAAAATTCAAAAATCAAAAGATCAGTTCATACAAAAGATCAGTTCATACAAAATACACAAAAAAACAAAAAATAACAACCAAAATAATCAAGATTGATCTTATTGAAATAAGAAATAACAACAAAGATAAATATCTATCGTATTGAAATAAGAAAATAAAACATTCATAAACTAAACTAAACCTAAACAATAAAAAGAAACTCGGTTAAAAAAAGAGAACATGTAACTAATATGAGAGGAGACACAAACTATATATATATGCGACTTGCTTTTTAGGGTTTAGAGGTTTTCCATTTTTATTTATTACGATCAATATCGATATAACCAAATATTCTTTTTTGATTAACCGAATATTTTTTCTTGATTTGTATAAATAGATTCGGCATTATCCTTTTCATTTAGTGAAGATTTTATTATTTACAATGAGAAAATTCTAGAAAATTGTGGTAAATTTCTGTTTTCGATAAAAACGAATAAAAATGTAATATTTTTGTTTTTTAATCATTAAAAAAAAATTAAAACCCAGATTAATTAAATAGAGAATTCGAAAAAAATAAAAAAGTTAGAGAATCGAACCTGCTACATAAAAGATAAGAAATCGAGTACTTAACCAATAAATCTACCATTATTTTGGTAAACTTATCAGTTTTTAAATATATATTATATTATGGACCAAAAATAGTGATTGAGCCATTTCCTTCTAAACATAGGCTTTAATCTACAATTTATTGGGTTTTAATTATAAAATATTTCTTTTTTGTTATAGATTTATTAAAATATTAATTAAATAAAATAGACCGATCACAAGATGTTATTTTATTAATGGCATAAACATAATTTACCATTCTCAACAAAAACATGGACTTAGGCCGTTTTTCTGCAGATCCAATCAGAAAAATATATATATAATTAAATAAAATCAACCAATCAAATTATAAGCTGAGCTGACCAATTAGAACATTTGATTTTCATTAATCAAAACGATATCAAAAGGTGTGCATTGAACCACAGCCCAATTCACTTCGCATTTATTATAATAAATACTATGTATATAGACTTCATTTTAAAAAATAAATAATATAGTATCTAATTGTATGTGGAATTTAAAGAATGAGTCGTTGAGAGAAAATGTATGTTTGCTTCTTTATAGATTATCAGTATGTTTAGGATTCATGTATTTGATTTCACCATATTTCTCATTTCATGCAAAGTATATTTATGCATCTTTTAGTTTGATCATAAAGTATTACAATTCAAAATACAATTGGCGCTAGATATATTCAATGGATGTGAAGTATCATGAGGGCATTATGTGTATTTTTTAAAAAAAATCATTTCAAAGGCGTTAATATATTCAAAAAAAAATTATTAACAAAATCAGATAATTTTTTTTGGATTTCTAACCTCAAAAGAATAATTAAAACTGAATGTCAAGCAGTGATGTAAAATTGAGCTATTAAAAACAAACTACACAAAGCTCAAATTCAAGTACGAGAAGTAGGGGATGAAGTAAATTTGTTTACTTTAATGCAACATCAAACTACGACTTAGGAAAATATGACGAAAGAAAACCCGCATATATATATGCAGGTATTTATCTAATATATTTATAAAGGTGAGAGTCTGAGAGAGATATTACGTGGAGAAGGGCGTGAGAATTATTTTGTGTGGAGAGAGAAGGAAGATTTTCTTGTATTCAACTTAACTTCTTTCAGTGAACATCTACAAATATTTATAGACTCAAGTAAAACATAAAATAATGGTGTAAGTCGATAAGTTCGCGGTGAAATAATGGATAATCATTTATTATTATAATAAAAATTACATTATTAGATCTCTTATTTTTTAAATAGAGATCTCTTTTGCTTCTTTTTCGAGTTCGATCGTTACTAGAAGGCACGACCACGACATTGGTCGTGGAGGTTGAGGAAGTTAAGAAAAAGAAAGTGGCACCGAATTAAGTGGGACACGTTCTTCATCAAAACCTTGCAATCGATCATCAATATCACTTTTTCATTTAAATTAGAAGCGTTGACTGATCTCCGGCGAGAATGGAGAGATCGGCGTCGGTGGGCATCAACGACGGCCGATTTGGTGGCAATCACTTCTACTCTCCATCATTCTCTTCGTCTTCTTCAATGAGGCATGTCAATTACAGGTAAAATATATGCTTTATGTGTGTTTGAGTTGATTATTGTAATTGAGTCCAATCACTTATGTGTAGGAGGCTTAGTTTAGGCTTTTTCTTTTTAATTAGGGTTTTGATTGTTTGGTTTCCTTTGATTATGTTTTTGATTTTGATCAGAAATGTCGTCTTCTTGTTAGATTTGTTAACGCGTTACTTCGATTTAGTTTTTGATTAAGATAGAAAGGATTGTTGCTCTTAATGATGATTTGGTGAATATATCTACCTGAGACAGAACCATTTTTGTTTGTTTGTTAAGAACTGTGAAAAGATAAATTTATATTCTTGGGAAAATTTTGAGACTTTCAATGTTTTCATATCCGTCTTCTTCAGTGAGACATGTCATTTACAGTTAAAATATGAGCTTCTGTCTTTTTGAAATGATTTTTGGTATTGAATCTTATGTGTAGGAGACTTAGTTTAGGCTTTTTGAATCAGAGTTTTCATTGTTGGTTTTCTCTGCTAATGTGTTTGATATAATGAGAAATGTCGTTTTCTTTGTTAGATTTGGTAATGTGTTACTTCGATTAGTTTTTGATTAGGGGAAAAAAGATTAACATTCTTAATGAATTTGGTTAGAATCTCCATCTGAGACAAAAACCCTTTTTGATTATTTGTAAAGAACTGTTTGTAAAGAATTGTGAAAAAAGATAATTCTTTCATTCTTTAGATTTTTTTTTAGAATTTTTATGTTTTTCATTTTCGTCTACTTTAATGATACATCTCAGTTACAGTTAAAGTTGTGTCTGAGTTGCTTATTTGGGTTTCTCTTGTTATTGTTTTAATTTGTTTTCTTGTCTTAGAGTTGGTAACGTGCTACTTTGGATTAGTTTTGATTTAGGGGAAAAAGATCGTGGTCGTTCATATGAATTTGGTTAAAATCTGGTGGCTAAAATCTGCACTGAGAAAGAATCCTTTTATTTGTAAAGGACTTTGAAAAGATGAAATATTTTTTCTTTGGGAAATTTAAAGACTTTTGATGTTATCATATTCAGCTAGGTTCATCGTCTTAGTAAGGAGCATGAGATTGTGTTATGTGGATTGGATGAAAATCTTAGTGTGCTATTGAACCATGTCTAAGAACTTGATCTTTGGTTTGTTGGTGTTGTGTTTTTTAAAAACAACCTAGCTTGAACAAAATGCATTTTAACTTTCTTGCAGTTGCGGATCTTGTGGCTATGAACTGAACTTAAGCTCCACAAATCGAATCACATCGTCTATCGGATCAAAGTACGGGAAATCCATGAAGGGTGGAATCATATCGTTCTTCAACATTGATGAGGCAAGATTCAGTCAAGTCGATCAGTTCCAATGCATGCCTCACTTCTCCAGATATTCTTGGGGTTTGTTCAGACGCAGAACTAAACTTCTCTGTCGTAAATGTAATAACTATATTGGCAATGCTTCTGAGGAGAAGACTCCTGCGTACGCAGTCGTAATACAAAACTCAGATTCCACATCTCCCAAAAACGGTACTGTTAAGAAGTATGATATCAGGATTCGTTCGCTTCAACCTTCTTCCGCTGTGGTATCATTGTGAGTATATACCCACCAATATTGTACACCATTTTTAAAATACCAAATCTAGATTTTCATTTAGTGTTTGGAGATATTATAGAACAGCTTAAGAGTATCAAATTTAGTTTGTATTAGTCTTGGTGCTGTTTTGATAAGGTGGGTTTTACTTTTAGGTTGTATAGTAACAACTATTTGCCCTTTTGTTTTTGGTAGACTTTTTTTTAGGTGAAGTGAAATTTCACTTTCTTATGCTCATCATTTGTGTTTACCTATTTGATACAGAAAAAAACGTTTAGTGTTCAACAATCCAAAAATTAAAATTTTAACTTCGAATGTAAATTTTTCTCCCATCACCCTTTTGTAATAACATCATCACTTAACTACATCAGTCTGCTGTTAAAATCCAGAACGTAACAAAGTCTTTGGATCACAAACTCAGAAATATACTAATAACAGAAGATAGAGAGTCACGGTGTATTTCCAGATGGTCTTCCATGTGCACCATTAGCACCTGGAGGATTATTATTACCATTAGCACCTTGAGGATTGTTATTACCAGTAGTACCTACCTGTGATCCTCCAAACATCTGCATCATTGATCGTAAAGCACCGGAAAACTCTTCAGGCATTTGATCCGCGACTCCGAGATCTATGTTGATATTGCCACCTACATGAATCTCAGGCTCATTCATACCATTTCTGTTACCATCTCCTCCCTCGTTATTGCGAGAATGATTTCCCGGGAATGTGTTTCCCGCCATGTTCATAAACATGCTCATCAACTCGGGGTTTAATGGAACTGAGAACTGAGATGGTATTCCTTGGCCTCCTATTTCCGGTCCTTGATTGTGTCCCGTGCTCGTATCCTGCTCTTCCAACACCACAAAACGTTAGATTCTTTGGTTTCTCGTCTTATTTATACTAATAAATGAGATGACTCAGATGTGTAACTAACTACCTGACTATGTCTGTGTCGTTGCTGTTCTTCTCTTAGTTTTTGTTCAGCCACCTGTGTTTTGCAAAAATGTCAAAACCAGAAACCTAAAAGATGATCATGTTAAAGCAAAGACTTGTATTAGGGGGAACAAAAAAACCGACCCTGATATTTTCTTTCACAGATTCGTTACGGGGATCCAACTGCAAAGCTGCCATGAGTGTGATGAAAAAGGTTAAACAGAATAAATGGTAGCTAACTTGGAGAAGCAAAGTTCTATCCTTTTCTACTATAATCGACCCTATGAGAGGAATATGCTAACTTAACAAAGAAGTTTAGACTAATGCTACGAACATATACCTACCTTTCCTAAATCCTTTCTCGATAGCATCTGAATACTTTCCTTGAGCATAATATGCTAACCCAAGACGACTGTAAGCCTTACTATAATTTGGATCAATCTGAATGGACTTAAGACAGTCGTTGATTGCTTCTGAGCACCTGTTGATCTGTGTATATGCAGCGGCCCTGAAAATTGATATTTTAGAAAATAATTACATATCTATGGACAAGTGAAAATATCTAAGCGTGTCGCAGATCAGATTACGAAGGATGCACACCACCGAAGAGTTACAACCTTAAGCATTCAGATATATCAAGTTGAAGTCTAATCACTCACCTGTTGCAGTAGAAAACAGCGTTCTTATCTGAGAGTGCAATTGCAAAAGTATACAGCTCGATTGCATCCAGAAAAAGCTGGGACTGCATGGCCTTGTTACCTAAAAGGAAGTGAATGTCACATAAACATAGGCTTGAGGGAACAACAAACGGATAAGGAAAAGGCTCCACTAATTTCGAAGAAATGAATTACAATATCAAAAAGCTTCTCAGTATGACAATTATAATATAAGTTAGCAGGACCAACACATACAATCTCTGTTGCAAACACAAAACATAACAAGTACCTTGGCTTTTGAGTGTTTCCGCCAAGTTTTTCACATCAAAAGTCTGGCATCCAGACTTTTCCATTTCCTAATATGCAAGAAAGAAACTTACTACCACACTCATTACCAATATAACTAAAACCGTCAATGAAATCAACAAGAAAATCAAGCTTACATTGATAGCATCATGAAATATCTTTGTTGCTTTTTCCAGCTGAGCAGGATCATCATCTCCGTCAGGCGTGTTATTGAAATACTGTACTTTCTCAAGCGCACCAAAGAGTTGGGTAAAGAGTTCATCTCTAGAAGTTCCTGCAACGGGCATTTCCCACAATTTAGATCAGAATATGTTCAGCAACAAGAAACCATAGAGAATTTATAACTCTTTTCAACCACTTCTTGACATTGTTTGCAACCGTAACTTCATTCCAATACTATAGTCAACACTACACTGATCCAAATGAACATGAAACATGGACCATTACTTACCAGTAAAGAGAGGCTCTTTGCTTGCATCCACTGACTTGGAGACATGAGAATCTGATAAGTCAGGACGTGAGGAGGAACTAGGCCCATCTATTGTAACACTTCGATCAGCAACGAATGGTGCAGTTTCCACAAGAGGAGGTGCGGTTTTGTTCAATGTACTGAACATATTGACAAGCGAAATGGGTTTCAACTTATAATCTCTTGTAGAATCTAAAGTAATTTTAAATGCTTCCTTTAAGCATTCTTTAGCAACCTCGAGCCCTTCTTCGTCAACACCTGAAGCAACCTCAACTACAAGAAAACAAAAAGAAGCCTATATTTCAAGAAAGCATTTCTTTTTCTCTATTAAAAATCTCCGAAGAATTGTTTTCAAAGAAAAAAAAATGACGAAAGCATGTCCATTAGGGGAATTGGTGGTATTCATTGTCTACGCAATCGTACGGGTAATTAGGAGAGAGAGAGACAAAGAGGAAGTGACCATGATTACCGGAATCTAGAAAATCCAAGAAAGAATGGACAATTTTCCGGCAGACTGGAGACTCTGTCGTTAGTTTCGCCATTGGAGAGGGAGAGGGAGAGGGAGAGGGCGAAGAATCTGGAATTTCTAATTTCTTCTGCGATTTGAGTGTTGTCGACGAAAACAAATTGAAAACCTCGTTTGGGAACAGGGTTATAATAGTCCTTGTTTTAGCCGCTTCCTCTCTTTTTTTTTTTTTTTTTCTATGAAAGCATAGAAGTTATATACTGTAAAAACTCTATAAATTAATACTCGATAAATTAATAATCATTATAAAGTAATAAATTTTGATGATCCCAGGGCCAATGTAAAAATCCATCAAATTTGATAAAATAATAAAATAACAATTTTTTTTGAAACCCTTATGTAAATACATAGTCCCAACAAAAACATAATTTAATAATTATATAAATCTATACAAATATATGTAAATTTAATATTTTAAAATATGACTAATGTGTTTGTTTTTAGTTAAAGTTGAATTCTCATTGGTTCTCATCTTTCTTATTATTATATCAGTAGTTCTTATTGCTGTTTTACTATATACATTCAAAATTTATGATGATTTTTGATGTGATAACTAATTTTTTTACATGTAAATATTTTTAAATGTATTGTAGTGTTATCTTCAATTTTATCATCAATGATACTGATAGTAGCCATAATTGTTTTATAAATTTTAGACTTATAAACATGTATATTTTTATAAGACAATCCAATATGGTAAAAAACTATTTTATTGTGATAGTTATGATTTTTAATCATAATATATATTATGAGATTTGTTAAAATTTTAAAATATAAGATTATTTCAAATAAATTTTTAGAAAATTATATGCGGAAAGAAATTTTTCTTTATAAATTAATAATTATTAATTAATAGATAAATTAATAACACGATAAATTAATAAAATATCATGGTCCCAACATTATTAATTTATAGAAGTTTTATTGTAATTCTTATGTAGATAAGGAGTTAACCAAACAGAAGGATTACAACAATCAGAGAAGAAAGATACTAAAGGATTCCTAGTTTTGGCTAATTGGTGAGCCGGTTCAATACCAAACTTGAATTCCACGCTTCTAAACTTCAATGCCCATTTCCAGATCTTCTTGCACAGATTATGGATCCCAAAGTCTTTATCATCATTATTCAGGTTCTGATAGGCCTGGGCATTCGGTTCGGCGGGTCGGTTCCGGGTTAGAACCGACCGGGTTTGGTTCTTTCGGTTTTCGTAAGTTGGACCCAATTAAGAACCGAATACTTTTGGTCCGGTTTCGGATCGGTTCAGGGATTTTACGGGTCGGTTCGGGTGCTTAAATTTAAAACCGAAATGTGTTTAATACACTTGGATTACGGTTCGGTTCGGTTCTTTTTTAGAACCGAAACCAAAAGAAACCAAAATCAGCAACAAAAAAACCCGAAATGTCTTAAAAAAAACCAAAACTGCAAAGTGCAAACCACCATAACGTGCTGAAGTTTTAAACATTGTTAAAAAACTGAAATGACAAATGACAATAGTCTAAACTTGAAAAACGAAAATCTGAACTGAAACATCAGAATTCCTAAAACACAAGTTGCATGAAGAATAACATAAAAGATAAAACAATGAAAACTGAAGACACGAAGACGCCAACTTGAAGACCTGAGCTTGAACTAGAACCTTGAAGCTTTCATACCTAATACATGAACAAAATACAGAGATGCAAATCAGTTAAAAATTGTCCTTAAAACACGAACACACCAACTCACAAAGTCACAAACATTAGTTCACAAAGTCATAAACATTAGTTCACAAAGTCACAAACATTAGTTCACAAACATTACCTTGTACTCATCAGTTCCACGTTCACAATCTCAAGTCTCAAGTCTCAACAGCTCTGCTTCTTTGCATATTGAATTCAGGGTCATTTTCTAATCAAAAAAAGAAGAACTAAAGGTTAGAAAAAAAAATAACTAATCAAAGAGATGTTAAAAAGGAATTAACTTACTTCTCATGAGTTCATCTTCAAGCTCCACATCAGCAAGCATTTGTTCACAAGTTGACACTCCTCTTTCATTGATATGAATTTCACTTTTTAACCACTAATCAGTACACATCAACACCTCCACCATGTAGTGTGTTAAACAGCTTCTGTAGGGGCTTAACACTCTTCCACTTGTGCTAAATGCAGATTCAGAAGCAACAGATGACACTTGCATTGCAAGTATATCTTTCGCAATCATTGAAAGAACCGGGAACTTGCCACTATTTCTCATCCACCAACCCAAGATATCATACTCTGTACCCTTCATCAGCTTTGGTTTATCAACAGCCTCTTTCAAATATATCTCTAACTCATTTGCTGAATCACCAACTCCTGCTTCTTCGACAAGTTCATCATAAATGTTGTCCATTCGTTTATACCCAACTCCATGACTGAGAACACTTCTTTCGAATATGTCAGTTCCGATTTGTTCTTGCGACATAGAAAAAGTTCCTTGGGACTGAGAAGATGATGGTCCATGTGACCCACTAGAACTGCTTCTGTCCACTAAGCTATTATACTCAGCAAATAAATCCTTCAGAATTGCCTCTATGGAATCATATAAGAGTTTCCCCGCAACACTATTCTTCCCATATAGAGAATCAAAACACAGCTGAGCAAACTTCATCTTCTTCCGTGGATCAAAAACACTAGCCACTATCACAAGCCTATTCATTTCAGTCTTCTCCCTAAATGGATCCCAATATTTCTCTAACTTACTAATCATCGCTAAGGCTCTATCCCTCAAAGTTTGATCAGCTACTTGAGAAGTACTAATCTCCTTAATGTTTGAAGTAATAGTGACAATCTCGTTATACACCTTGTGTGCCGCCACAGATGTAGAAGCAGAGAGCATCAATGTAGATTTGTAGAAAATGACAAGAAATTGAACCAACCTGTCAACTGCATCCCAATCGCTTGAACTTGGTGGTCCAATCCTCTTGTTCCCTTCAACGTGTTCTAGAAAATGGTCACCATAAGGTTTGTCTTCAGCCTGCATCCTCTCAAAAGCCAACCTGAACTTTAAAGCCTGTTCCAGCATGAGACAAGTAGAATTCCATCTGGTCTTCACGTCTAGAGGTAAGCTTCCTCTAGTCATCTTTCCTGTCTCTACTCTAAACTCAAAAGACTTAACACTGTTTGTAGAAGACCTGACATAGTGAATTGCATTCCTAATAGCAACAATGCTATTATCTTCTTCCGCCAATCCATCCTTGACAATAAGGTTCAAAATGTGTGTTGCACACCTTAGATGTAGGTATGAACCGTTAAGAACCAATGCATCTTCTCCCTGTTGCATAAACGATTCCCTGAATCTCTTCATTGCCGAGCTGTTTGCTGTGGCATTGTCCACGGTGATGGTAAACACTCTCTTTATTTCCCACTCAGCCAAAACCTCCAGCAGAACCTTACAAATGGTTGATCCTTTATGATCCGAGACATTTTTGAATCCTATGATCATCTTCCTTAATCTCCAAAAATCATCAACAAAATGTGCTGTAACCACCATGTAACTAGCACTAGTATATGGAGCAGTCCATATATCTGTGGTCAGCGATAATCTCTGCTTGTTGTCCCCAAGAATCTTCTTCATTTTTTCTTTCCGAGATACATACATATCCACAATGTCCCTTGTTGCTGTTCTTCGAGAATGAGGAGTGTACAGTTTACACTTAGATGTGAAGTGCTTCCAAGCTACACTCTCTATAAAAGCTAATGGCAACTCCCCTAAAACCAGCATCTCATGTGAAGCTTCCCTAAAAACAAGTTCAGATACTTTACCTAAACCCAACATCCCATCTTCACCTGTAGGAGATAACACAGTCTGGTTATTGTCCTTGTTCGCAGCTTTCCAAGCTCTGTATGCTTTGCAACAGAAGACGATATGCTTCTTCAGACTAGAAGTCCCTGACTTGGTTGGACAAGCCATCTCGCGACCACAGTAATTACAATTACATTTATCGTAATTGTTCTTCTGCCTGGTGTAGTGTTCCCACATCTTCGACCTAGTCTTCTTTGTTGAATGGGAACCAGCATCTCGAGACTCTTTCCTCTTGCCTAAATTTGGACGACAAGGTGTTTCAGCATCATCGGTTGTGTCTTCAAAGTCATCGTCAGGTAAAGGTTCCTTCATTAGAACATCATTGTTTGGTGGATTCTCTGAAGATGCCATCTGCGTAAGAATATAGAACATTAGGAGTTAGAACTTAGAAGTTAGAACACCAAACAAAAGCATCTGCAAATAACTAGTCATTTGAATCTCAAAAGATTAACTACAAGTCTACAACACTAAACCAAAATTGCATCTGCAAGAAGTCGCGATTAACAATTCAAAACTAAACCCAAAAACAGATATAGATTCATCTATATAGAGCAAGAAGTCGTGATTGGTTTGGGAAGCAATTTTAGAAAACAGAATGAGTTAGAAAAAGAGAACATAACAATTGATCAACAAAACAGAATGAGTTAGAACTAGAAGTTAGAACACGATCTAATATAAGTATATAACAATTGATCAACTAATCAACTTCTTCAAAACTGATATAGATAAACAATTCAAACACATATGACATAACAATAAACAATTGATCAACTTATCAAATATTAAAGCTCCAAAATCCAACTAAAACAGATATGGGGAATTAGTTTCAGAGATGATGATCACGTCAACTTAGAATGATTAATAGAAGACAATCAGACATATGTAGATCAAGAGACTAAGAAATTCAACTTCACTTACCTCAGACTTGTTGTTCGACGATGCAGAGGAAGACAAAGATTGCGAGATGGAGGCCACGTTCTTCTTAGCTAGGGATTCCAGTTTAGATTTTAGAAATTGGGAGTTAGGGCTTTTAAATACAAAACGAGAATCGATTCGATTCGAATTGGCAAGTGGGTTGCGCAATCTTCGGGTAGTGGAGATTCTTGCATAATTTTTTCGAGATTGATCTTCATCGAAATCGCAACAAAACAAGAAACTTTCTCCAAAACGATTAAACGAAATTGAGAAAAAAATCTGTTTAGCATTCGGATCTCGGGTATATTGTCGGGTTTCAGATATAACCCGGATCCGAACC